GGGGGGGGGGGGGGGAGGGGTTGGTTTATTCCCATTCCTTAGCCAACAGTACACAGGGAGTAATTTGCAAGTCAGCCATTTTCAAGCTGACTACTACATGCTGTTGCCATGCAGATCTGCTAAGCAACCACATCCTGAAAACGGCCATGTGTGCGGAAGCCATCATTGCTGGCTTGTCAATGGAAACGCTGGATGGCAACATGTTGGAAATAGGCTGTAATGGTGATGAACTGACCCTCAATGGACGGCCCATCATTGCCAACAGGGATGTCATAGCAACCAACGGCGTGATACACTTTGTCAATGAACTACTCATCCCCGACTCTGGTAAGACATTTGGTTTTCCTGCGTATTCTTTAAAAACGATGTGTGCTGCATGCAGCGCAGTGGCTGCGAATGGCATCCCTTTCTTCACCTATCTAGAGCATGGTCTATGGCAGTAGTCCCTCGCAGAGGTGCACAGAGAATTGCAACAGGGTCGTGCCCGTTTGAACTGCCATTGCCTCCCTGCCTCCGTGCAGGCAGCATCGACCCCTTCCCTGTCCAGGGCAAGGGAAGTGAGTTTCAAACTGAATGATCATGTGGTTGGGTCTCCCACATTCAGCCGAAAGCTGACTGCACAAAGCCCTGAACCTCTCTCCATGGGAGTGGGGCTAATGTGCACAACAGTTGCTCCCGCTCTTCAAAGATTAACTTGAAAACCCCGAAGAGGGACTAGTTTGTTCCAACAAGCCAGGCTGAGTTCTGTCCAGTTCACACATCTCCTCCTTTCTCATCTCAGTTATTCTAAGTCCCCTCCAAAGTAGGAAGTTACTTGTGCTACAGAATGACCTGGTTCGACTACAAGGCCTCAGCTGGACTTTGACTCACCTCCAGCTCCTCTCTACGTGATCTGCTGGTCTTAACAGACTAAATATTAGACACATGAGCATTTGATATTTGGGGGGAAAGAAGGATGAGCTATCTTTCTGCCTGTTTTTTCCTGCTCCTTTCCTCCTGCAGCACCCTGCCCAAGTTGCCTTTCTTCTACCAGGGCTCTAGTGTCATTGATACCTTCACGAATATGCAACAGAAACCTGTAGCAAAGAAGGTGGCTGGTTGAGAGTATTTCACTGGGCAGCCAAAGGATTACGACTCCTCCCCGGTTGTTTCTGTGTGTGAAAATATTGTGCCCCGTATCTGCTCATCTGTAAAAGACACCTGTCGAGGCTTCTTTGCACACAGTTTCAAATAGTCTGCAGTTTGCCACTGATTTCCTGACAGCCCAGTAACCCAGCATGTACACTTCACCCAAACATCTTTTTTCTGTGCTCTCAAACAAAATGGATTTTGAATAAATGGTGGCAATTTTTGTTCTTTTTTCATATGGTTGCCCTTGATCCCTGGTGCCTCAAGCTCCATAGAAAGCTGCTTGTCCATTGCTGAGCACCTTACATTTCTGACAGGTGAAGGATGAAAAGCCACCATGCACTGGTCTTTGAGGCAGGCAGTACTAGGGAAAAGGGGGAAGAACAGCACGCGGGCTAAGCCTGGGTATTCCTTTCTCCCTGCTTGAGAAGGGTACTAACAAAAATGTTCATGACCGGGAAAGCTGACAAGAAATCTGGGTCATATTTCCTAAATACTGTGACTTCTCCACTTTTAACATTAGGTTGTAGTTTCATTTGGTTTTTAGCTGAGAAAAATACGTTACATTATAGTCATTTAAAAACAACAGCATGGGAACAGAAGTGCAAACTCATTTTGTTTAAAAGCAAACAATGGAGGAAATGAAAGCAAAAGGGCTTATTGACATGACAATCTAAAATGAAGCACCAAAAGCACCAAAATGGACCATTTGTGGGTTTAAAAAGCAACGTGCAGCATAGAAAATGCCTATGTTTAATTTATCATTAGTTTCAGAATGAAAAGCTCTTATTGTTAATTGACTATTTCTCCAATTGAGAGTACTAATTGTGAGATCAATTTTGACTTCTTTTCTTTTCTTTTCTTTTTTAAATTTAAGCTAAGACTTTGTTGGAATTGGGCCTGGAATCTGATGTTTCGACAACTATTGACCTTTTTAGACGAGCCGGTCTCGACTCACATCTCAGCGGAAATGAGCGATTGACGCTCATAGCGCCCATCAACTCTTTCTACAGAGGTAAGTGCCAGAACTCTTAGGCAGCACAATCTGTTCATAATTAGAGCCCCGGGCTTTAGTTAGCTTAGCTCATCCCTTCTTCCGTGAGTGGGCTGCATGGGCAATCAATGCCCAGTTGTGGAGAGGAGAGAGCGCAATTCCATCCCTATATAGTTTGCTGGGATTCATTTTTAATTGGTAGGATTGTAAGTTAAGGCCACATCTGTTTGGTTTCTTGAGGTTACTTTGGTTCTGGTGCATGACTGTAGTAGAGAACGAAAAATGCAACTGGGGGAAATTGCTCTGCCTTGTAACAATGCACATGGAGCCGAAGGTCATCTGTAGACTGGGAGGGGAGGAGGTTGAGCTGCCAGCACAATACCTTGTATCTTCATGGTACCAGCCTTGGAGAAACAGCCAACACAGTTCTTGCCACGCCAGTTGTGAATAGGGAGGGAGATCCACAAGCAGATCCCCAGGATACAAGGTCTGAGCGAGTTTCCGATATGTGATTTTAAAAAATCCCATGGCTATCTTGACACTCAGAGAATGGAATGAAGCATGTGGCATCCTAAATGACTGCAGGCTGCGAATGGCAGCTCCCATTTGTACAGCTGTATCTGCACTTGCCAGGACTCCCATGGCAAAGTGGCCTCCAGTGCCGTCAGGTCTTCAAACGTGAACTGTTTCGGATTCTGTGCTGGTTTTATTACACAAACCTATCTGCTTCTTTTGACCTGCTATTCATTGGTAATGATGTCGCAAGAGATGCCTGGGGTGGAAGTCATGAGGGAATGGAGTACTGATGGTACTCCGGCTTGGGATTCGGAGAAGATGCTGTGTCTTGTATAGCACTATTGAAAACTTTTGGGAAGAGTAGGTTTTAGCCCCCTCTCAGTTACCTAAAAGCTGACTGGAGCGTAAAGACTTTCTGCAGGTTGACTAAGGTATGTGCAGGTGCGATCCTATGCATGCTGAAGCAGGAAAAAGTACTACAGTGTCCAGCAGTCTCAGCAGTCTCTGAAGGCAGGGAAGGTGTGAATGGGAGTACATCCACAAAGAAATGTCAGCACTTTTATTATTAGCAGTAGTATTAATGTTAGTTCTGGGAAATATTCATTGAGACTGACATCATTGTGACTCATAATTTTCCATCCGCAAGATTTCTCTATCCGTGTGTGTGTGTGTATACTTACTCCCCTGTGGACACTGATTTTGCATCTGAAAATACAGCCTGTATTATTTTTAAAGGCAGGCAATAGCACACACTGCATCTGGTACTTGTATTTAACTAGATACAAGCTTGTATCTCCAGAGAAGGCAACAGCTGAATGGACTTTGTTCTTATAAATCTGTGAATCTTCTTTTTATCTGGTTCTACAGATCAGACCCCTTCTGCAAACAGGAACTTGCTCCAAGACCTCATCATTAAGGAGCAGCTTTCCTCCAAGTACCTTTTTCATGGACAGAAGCTAGAGACTCTGAGTGGCAAAGAACTGAGAGTCTTTGTGTATCGCAACGTATGTTTCCACTCAATTATTGCTCCTCATCAGACATTTCATTCTCAAAATCAGAGATGTCCAATATTTTTCCACCGTTAAACCCCACAGAAACAACCTCATTGAGTTTAGTGCACTGGCATGGCTGACTCTGTATTCATTTATTTAGTCAGTCCTTTATTTATAGTGCTGATATACTGTTGCAATGTTGTACCATATCCTTTTTTAATGAATATCAAAACCACACTGTATAAAAATGGAATACCAGTATAAACCATGGGTGGTCAAGTAAGGAAGACCTCTTGGAATCAAGATGTTCTCGGGAAGTGCAGAACATGGCATGATGTTGGTGACCTCCTCACCTCCAGGGCATTCCATACCATGGTGGAGTCCCAGCTTTCCCCCCAGGCACTCATGAGGATTTTTTTGTTTTATCTTCATATAACAGTCATATGAAACTGTTCAGGCTAAGATCATACAGGGTACCATAAGGACCTGAATTCAGACTTTCCCATTCCACATCCACTAGCATGTTCCTGGTTCAGAGTAAATGAATGAACCAAGTTCTTCTCCGAGTTTGATCTGCAGTAGCACACGCCTGTGCTAATTTGTGTAAAAGTGCTCTGTTGAACATGTAGTCAAGAATCTACTAGTCGGGGGTATAGAATTAACACTCTACTAGCCAGTCAGTGTACAAGCACCACTAAAAGGGCCATGGGAAATAAATGAGTCCAAACTTTTCTGATGTTGTTCTTGCAGAATCTCTGTATTGAAAATGCCTGCATTGCTGCCCATGACAAAAGAGGAAGGTTTGGTACCCTGCTCTTTGTGGATAAGATGGTGACTCCTCCTGTCGGAACAGTTATGGATGTGCTGAAAGCAGATGACCGCTTCAGGTGACATTTTCTCTGGTTGTTAGCTCAAAAGCTGTGGAGAAGTAGTTTTTCTGTGGAAACAACCTTTTTGATGGGACTAGTTATTTCCACATATTAAACACATGTCTGTTTTTAAAGCATTATGGCAAATGATGTAGGTAAAAGTCAAATAAATAAATCTACTCAACTGCTTCTACACTATATGTCAAAGGAGCATAGGAACCTGGCTCATACCGAGTTGGACCATTGGTTCATCTAGTTCTTGGTATAATAATACTAACTAGGGGAATCCTTAGTTCACAGTAGTCCATGGAGACTCCCCATCTGGGCTGCAGAGCCATCCAGACCTGAAACCCGGAGAAAACCTTTTTGTTACCTCCTCTTCACAAAAATCTTCTTTTTCTCTTGGTTAACATATCCAATAAATTTGTTTTCCTGAAGTGCAAAAGTAGTTTGCCATGCTACATTGCTGTATTGTTGGAGGAGCAGGAGAAACAATGTCCAAATGTTCTGCGGGCTGCAGTGTTAGTTTTCTGATTCTCTGCTCTATGACTCTCTTTGTTACAAAAACAAACCAAAAAAATCCCAACCTAATCTTCCATTCATCCCTCACCCATTTAAAATGTTTCCTTATTTGTGAATTTTTGAAAGGAAAAAACAGCCGGTGTTTTTATGAACTACTGCTCTTTCATCTTTTACAATAAAAATACTTTAAAAGATAAAAATATTTTGACTAAGTTTTTGAATAAAATCAAAAACAGCCTGTGGTCCCACTGGGTTCTTGGAATTCCTAAGTAAGCGGGCTTCTCCCACTTTGATGTAAAAGAATAAAACCCTAAATGATTAAAAGAATCAGCTCATTAACACCCAGGTTAAGATTCATCTAACACTAACTGAAGAAAAGCAATGGAACACCGATTAATACTGTCACTGAAGTAGATCTCAACCCACCCCAATTCCTTTATTTATTTATTTATTAAACCATTTCTATGCCGCCCCTTGCCGAAGCCTCGGGGCGGCTCACAACACAAAATAAAATACAATAAAATACAAAAATAACAATATAAAATTATTGTTAGCGTGCACTGTGTCTTCCCCACCCCCTTCTGAATATCAGGCAAGTAGGACAGTATTAATTCCATTGTACGGACAGCAAGCTCAGTGTTTCAAGACAGTGATGACCAGTTATGCTGAGGGATCTTATATTACCCGGATGCATATTGACTGGTTAAACTCCTTTTGTAGAGCACTTCTCCATGCGAATGAAAAGGTCTGTCTGGATCAACATCCTGGTTTCATTAGGGATGACTTCATTTTAGTGGACCTACAAAAATTGGGTACAACCTATGGGCATCTCCACCAGTGGAATGAAAGGAGACTCCTACTTGCTTAAGCACCGGACCACAGGGCGCTTTCAACTAGGGTCCTTAAATCAAAAGGTGACATTTTAAATAGTTCTTGGGAAATAAAGTATTTTTCATGTCTGATCTTTTTCTAGTGCCCTGGTAACTGCCATCCAGTCAGCAGGTCTAACAGAAATGCTGAACAGGCCAAGTTCATTCACAGTGTTTGCACCAACAAATGAAGCTTTCCAAACCATGCCACAAGGGGAGCTGAGCAAGCTCATGGGTAAGTGTCCACAGATGTTTGAGGCTGATGATGGGATTGCTTCATACTGCATTCCTTGGGTGAGGGAGCTTCCAGCGTTTGGTTCCATTTCAGACTCCTCAGCTACTCCTCTTCCGATTGATTCTGTGTGTCCGTGGGAAGGGGACACAAGGCCACAAAAATCATGCTCAGCTTTCAGTTCATTTCATTAGGAAAAATGCTATTTTTGCCATCACTGGCTTGACACTTGTTGATGAGACACACCTTTCCTCTATGCTGGGTTTGCTACTATTAGGATTTTAATGAAGCCACTGAAATTTGAAAATTAACATGCATCATGTCAGGCATTCAATAGCAAAGGGTTTTTCTATCACCACAGAGCTGCAAGCATGGGATTTATTGTTGCTAATGTTATTGTTCCTATTGCAACTGCGGCTAAATTGATGGTATGCTATAGCATCTTCCCAACATAATGGTTTCCACTCATGAAGTGGATTCCTCCTATCTGTAATTCTCACACCCTCCCAAATCTCTTGAGGGCCGAGGGACACAAACCCTGGAGCAAATCTGGGGGGCACAGGAAGCTTCAGAGGCGAAGGGGGAGGAAGCATCTGCTTGCAGACCACTGCATACCATATCATCATGACAACGGATGATGTAAACTGGAGGTGCTTCTGGATCCATCTTTGGATGGCGACCTGGGTGGCGTGGACTTTCCGGGACTGCCAACTTCAGTTGGTGTGCCTGTTCTTGGATAAGGGGAGAACCGACCACGGTGATCCATGTACTCATAAGCAGACTGCTCTCAAGCGCTCTGTGTGTGGCTGCTCTTGGGCCTGGTCCAGAAGCTCCAGCTGGGGCAGAGCACAGCAGCTGGGCTGCTCACTGGGGCGCCCAGCTGTCCCCACACAAGGCCTGTGCTGAAAGAACTGCAGTGGTGGCCTGTTAGCGACTGAACCATGTTCAAGGCTACATGCTTTACATACCAGATTTAAACAACTTGCATCTGTGATATCCAGCAGGCGGCTTTGCCTTATGTGCGCAGCTGACCCTTAAGGTGGTTAGAAAAGGCCTTGTGGGTGCTTTGGAAATTACTGGGATGTCAGCGTGTGGCAGGCTTTCTCTGTAGTGGGGCCCATGCTCTGGAAAGCTCTCCCCTGTGCAGTTCAGGAGGCAGAAAAAGTGGCAGCTTTCAGACTCTTCCTGACAACACATTTGATCATCCACATGTTCCTTGGCTCATAATTAAATTAACCATGCTGCTCTGTTTTACTGCTCCTATCCTGCTCTAAAATTGGATTTTTTAAATTGCACTTTAATATTAATTAAAGTGATTTAAATGCAATTTTAATATTTATATGTAAACTACTTAGAGATTTTTATATACTTAGCATATAAAATATTACTGATAAATAATAAATCAATTATCATTATCCCTTCTTCCCATTATATGCATGACAGATCGTATGAATGGATGGCTTTCATCTATATCCAATATTTGCCACTAGGAATTACTGTATTATCAAAAGAGTAGATTTTGGGCTCAGTGCATGCTGTACATCAAAGCAATGCTACCAAAAGGTGTTCTGCTCACTCTTTCCTCTTAGCTGTAGCCCGGCTTCTTCATTCTCTGGACCACTGGTTCCTGCTCCTCTAAAAGCAGGTTCTTCATGATGTCTTTTGCTTATGGTAGAATGAACACCTCTCACCCAGAAAGTTCAGGATACTGATATGACCACAGTCTTTGGAATTTTTGTCACTTAAGGGCAAAGCTTGACTGCTTTTTGTGAGGCCCACAAAATCCTGGGACAAAGAGTTTGTCCACCCTTTCTTTAAGGAAAATTATGGGAACACTGGAGGAAAGGAGATTAGGCAAAGGAAGAGGAGTGCTTGTCAAGTTTGCAGGTAGATGGCAAAGCCCAGCACTGGTAGTACAGTGGGATATGTCTGGGCTGCTCTTCCTATTCAGAGACTAAGTACATTTATTGTATTGGATGGGATTTATTGGGATTTATCTGCTGCATTTTCATGGAGCGGTGGCATTTGAAACAGCTAACAGACAAATTACTAATGACTCCCAAATCTACTGGTTTACTCTATGTTCCTCAACAAAGAGACAGGGAAACATTTGAAAGAGAACATGGGTTTTGAATATAGAGGGATCTAAGTTAGAAAAATGCGGTGTGCATGCCTACTTGTTATTTGGAATTGCATCAGAAAAGAAAGAATTCACAGGTGGTCATAAATAAATGGAGATTCAAAGAAGCAGGGCTAGTAAAGGCAAAGATTGGACAATCATAGGCACTGGCCACTCAAAAAAGCACTAGCTTGCAAACCCTATAAGGAAAGGTATGTTCAATCATCTTTTGTGTAAATATTGGAATATCTTCTCTTCTGAAGAGAAAAATAATGACTGCATCAAAGGAACACAGGCTGTTCTAGGGCAATGTCTTTTCATTGTTATACCCCAACCAATCCATGACCTCACAATGCAGCATCTACTTACGGGAGTTGGTAATCCTTTTAAGTTCGTCAAGAGGCAATCTGCATGCTTGTTCTATTGCTTAATGCACAAATATTTCATAACTGATTTGTAGCTACTGTAAGCAGCTGTGGAGCTGAAACATCCCAGATGTGAACAGTCAAAATGTTCCCAAGCTTCGTAAGCAAAATATTTAGCTTACTGTTCTGCAAGCGGTGAATCACAGTTGGTGGGAACCTATAGCACACTGCAGACTTGTGAAAGAGGAAAAGGGGGAAAAAAGAAGCTGCAATTACAATGTTATCTCTTGAAAATGAATACAGCTTTGAGTAGTTTGCACATCGTAAAACTGGTGCCAAGTTGGCCCCTATAAGGAATAAAAATAATCCTAGTGCAAGACCATGATGGAAAAGCCTGCTACTGCTGGTACAGTTTGTGGCCAGTGGTTTTATGATATATAAAAGCTGGGTTGTCTTTGTAGACCTGAGCATCCGGGAGCCATACTGCTACTTTGACTACCTGGGTGGGAGCAATTGCTGCTGACATCATTGGCACTTCCATGCCAGAGTTATGATCTACTTAGCCCTAAGTTTGACTAGATCGCACTGTCAGTTATGGAAGGAAAAGTTCTGCAAAAACCAGCTGGGCCATGGCCAGCAATGAGGGATTCCTGAGTGTACATGTAGCCATCCCTGTGCTTGCAGTAGTTGCAACTAGACTGTGGCCGGTGGGTTTTTAACTGACTTCCATGTGTAAGACCCTCTACCCACCCATCGGGTTGGATCCAGATTAATGCTTAGCAGGGTTCTGCTTGCACTGATAGTTGTGATTCTTCCTTCTCAGTGTAGTCTCTGGTACTTCCTGAAAAGCTGCTCTCGGGGGCTAGAGGAGATACAACATATGCTTTTGGACACATTTGCCAATGCCTCGTGTGCAGGCCAGCTGTTGTGATTCAGTGTCCATATTTATTGGCCCCTCTCCCATTTACGGAAGAAACGGCTAGGGAAGGGGGACATAACGGCCGTAGGAGCACAGCCTGGCAGAAAAACATGGTGAGGAAACAGGGCAATGTCAAGCAACAGGGAACTGTGGAAATGTGTCATTTCTCTTCAGAGAGATTCCTTCCTCCCCACAAAACATTCCAAATTTTAAGATAACTCAAATTGCATGTTTTTTGAGCTTGAAGGACTCAGTTGAAGAAACTTGACATGAAATTTGCTGCAAGCTTCCTGCAGTTACCCAAAGTTCTTCCATTGTATAGCGGATTTTATTAGCCAGAAGGAATGCCTTTCCATATGCAGGAGATTCTGGATCCCAGTGCTATACAGCAACCTGGCTGTGAGAGCTGCATTTTGTCAGAAATAGGCAGAATCCAGTTAAGCTATTTCACTTCCCATCTGTTTAACTCATTATGCAAGAGAGAAGCACTATGTTCTATGTTCTTTCTTACGTATCGTGAAGTATGGGAAATAAACTATAACAATTTCGGTATCGTTGGTTATGCCTCCCCCCTGTATTTTCCTAGGTAATGCAAATGAACTTGCCAACTTCCTGAAGTACCACATTGGAGATGAAATTTTGGTTAGTGGAGCAGTTGGTGCTGTTGTGAGAATCAAGTCCCTACAGGGTGATAAGCTGGAAGTCAGCACTGTGAGTTCAACCACCACTACCTTCCCTCGATCGTGCGTGTGAATCTCGTATTCGCCTTTCAAGCTCCAGCGCTCTCTTCAGATGCACTGTTTAGAACAACTTTCAGATTTGCACCACCTCCACTAAGAGTGGGGCCGCACAGTTCTAGCGCTGTTGCCATATGGAGCCTAAGGCGGCTTTAAAGCTGAAGACAGACGAGAGAGGAATGAGTTCGGGCAGCTCTGTCCTCTGTCTCCGCTGGCTGGGTTGAGTTGTTGATCCCTCCACAGGCAGGGTGCCCTTTCTAGGAGGCCTCTGGTGTCCAGGCGCTCCTATTATCCTACGCTTCGTGAGCAGATGGAGTGGCAAAGGCAATGTTCATGCCTCCATCCTTGCGCTTCCTTTCTTTAGAAAGGTGTTGCTGCCCAGGACAAGATGGAACTCGGAAGGCCCCTGGAGACTGCAAATCCCAGCCTCTCCCCTCCCTGCCCGCTTTGCCCTCCCCCTTTTGTGACCACAGGAGGCAGTTTCTGGATTTTTTCTGTGTTGGCCACAAGGGGGAGAGGAGAGCGACAGAGGCCTTGGGAGGGGCACTGCAAAAAGGCTTCTAGGGTTCTTTCTCCTAGTGTCTGTTTTTCACAATGCATCTCTAACTCTTTTGACCATAGAAAAACCACATCATAAACGTCAACAAGGAACCCGTTGCTGAAGCTGATATTATGGCCACTAATGGCGTGATTTATGCTATAAATACTGTTTTACAACCACCAGGTAAGTCAAATAGGTTCCAGGCATAGAAAAGAATTCACATGTTCCTCCATGTTTGCCTCTTTCCCCTAAGTGGTGAAGGGCACTATATTATCGCAGAACACCATGAAATGTGTATTTGGAGAAGGAAGTTTATTTCCTGTGCAGAAGGAAACAAGTGGGTGATTCCCACCTTCCTGAGAAACATCATAGCTTTGGGCCTCAAAACCTTTGCATGCTGCAGTGGGGCACGCGTGCAGTCATCAAATGGGTCGGTTGTATTCTCAAAGGTGAAGCGTGGACAGACAATAGGTGGTATATATTTGGTACCATTTCTGGTTGTGGAACTCACTCCAGGGAGAGATTATGTTGGCCCCATCCTTACTGAGTTTCAGCCAGGTAGTAAAATCCGAACTGTCTCACTGGACATTGGTCAGGTTTTAATAGTAGTGTGGCTCATTTTAAAACAAGGCTGGACAACTCTAGATGTTCTGCGCACACTCCCACCAGCCCCAGGCAAGAGCCAGTGGTGAGGGACCGCAGACGCTGTAGGCCAAATCGTCTGAAGAGCTGCAAGTTACCCCCTCTGTTTGAAAGAACACGTTGCCTCTGTTTGCATCCTATGCTGGGTTACTATGGCATTGTCTTAAATTATACTTTGCTTGGAAGGCCTTGGTGGGTAGAAAAAGGCTAAATAAACAAATTTCTTGAAAACTGTGGGAAGAAAAAAGGAAAGCGATTTCACAGGACTTTCACAGAATCATCACTTCTTCTCTCATAATGTGCCCTTGCATAAATATGCAGGGGGTATTTTGCAAGAGGGTAAGCCAAAGGAATGCAGGATGCCTCCTGAATCTGAGTCAGGCTCTTGCCCTGCCCAGCCCAGAATTAATTAAGCAGTGACTGGTAGCTGCTCTCCTTGATTTTGGGCATGAGTTTTTCTAACACTTTCTGGAGTAAAAGCCTGACACAAACAGGCTTTTACTCCAGAGGGCTCTTCATGCGGAAGGGCGGGACATAAAGATACGTTTTAAAAAGATACAAATTGAGTCAGTGTTAATTCATTCACTAGTTCACCTGTCCAGTCAGTCATTTCTGATTTCTTGGATTAGGTGGCTGTTCCGGCTGTCACCCATGCAACTCTTGACCTCAGTCTATGATCTCCCAGTAGAACTGGGAAAGGCCCTTGTCCAAAACCTCAGAGAGTCACTGCCAGTCAGGACAATCAGTTCTGAGTTCAGTGGTCAGATAAGATGGGTTCCCACATTCCCAAGTGCAGATGTGCCTCATCTGCAAGGTTAACTTGAAGTAGGTGCTCCCGATGTGTTCACACATTCTTGTGGCTTGGTCTGACATGTCATGATTTGTTTTTAAGAATTGGTTACCCAATACTGAATGAAGCAGTGTATCAGAATGTGTGTTTAAGATGTGGAAATCTGCATATGCTGTGAACATGTCTCTTAAAGATGTGTCTGGATTAATCTCTGGGATTTCTAAACGTACATATGGAAAGCTTGACTACTGGGACAAGCTGCTGCTGTCTGTAGCATTGGTTTAGGGTAACTGCCTGGGTTGCCTTCAGTTCATTTCATATGTTGGTACCCTGCCTCTTTACAATAACTCACAGCTAGCTAGCCAGCCAGCCAGCCAACCCTTGTGGGGATAAGATGGAGGAGGAGAGATGATGTAAGCTGCCTTGAGCCCTTTGTAGGAAAAAGGCAGGACATAAATCGCAATATAAATAATAAATAAATAAATAAATAAAAATCCCTAGTAAAAACACGGAATTAAAGCAATTTGATAATTAGCAGAACCAGTAAAATATTGACAAGCATGCCTTGATGTTTTTTGAACTGTGCTACTTTAGCTTCTAAGCTCAATGAAAGAAGTGATGATCCTTCAGACCCTGCACTACAAATCTTCAGGCATGCCTCTCCAATATCCAAGGTAAACACCATGTCCAACCAACATGCAGGGCCCATTCCAACATGGCATTTTTCCTTATTTGTACATGGGATCTGTCTGGCCTTGTAAGCCAGCAAGGACTGGATCACAGGGTAAGGAAGATCCTGCATTCAAATAAGTGTGGCGTCTCTTCCACCCATGGTTATATCCATGCACTGTAAGTGGGGCTGGGGGGCAGCTGATGTGGGGCCAGGGCTCACCCTTGATCTCACCATATGTAGGGGATCGCCATGGGGAGGATGGTCTGAAGACATCCTAACTGTGCTTGCTTGGCAGTATTCTCCAATGACATTTGCCTGTCTCCACCTAAACACACAGCTCGAAGTCTAAGGATGACTCCCCATTCGGGGGATTCTTCGGCTGTGCTGCGTGGTATCCCATCCCATCCACTTATTCAATCATATTTGAATGGCCTCCAAAGTCAGGGCAGTGATGCACACTGTTCCCAGGCATGCTCCATGCCTTTCCAAGTGTTATTTCCAACCGATTCTGCCTGTGCTGCATCAAAGTCATTCTGAAGGCTTCCTTAAATGTCAGAATGTGTGCAGCAAGTCTCTGAAGCTCTGCAGAAGCTCCCCAGCAATCGCTGTGTTCCAGCAATGTGTTAACCCACTGGTGTCCTTTAAGGCAGCCTCTTTCTACTCTAATATGGAGAGAAACCAAATCTCTTATGTGTATAAGAGAATCATTTTAATACTTTATAAAACCAAACTTTTTTTTTTATTTTGCAGGCTACCTTAAGGAATTCTAAGCTAGGTAAGTAATTTTTGCATGCCATGTTTATTGAAAAGGTTCCTCTGTGTGGTAGCTCCTCAAAAACTTTGGGATTGGTCCCATGTCTCACCAGAAAGCAACATTTACCTGAGTCTCTCATATCCTGCAGAGGTTTCCTAGCATCAGAAGTCATCATGGTGACACGGGATGCACTCATGTGATGCAAGCATCTTACTATTTATTATATTTGTATCCTGCCTTTTTCCTTCCAAGGAACTAAAGGGAGCTCACATTGTTCTCCTTCTTTATATTTTCTCTTCACAACAACAACCCTGTGAGGTAGGTTAGGCTGAGAGTCTGTGGCTGGCCCAAACTCACCTAGTGAGCTCCATGGCTGACAAGGGATTAGAACCCAGGTCTCCTGAGTCCCAGTCCTGTGCTGTTAACCACTACACCACAAGGGCTCTCTCTGCTTGCTCTGTGCTTTGACATCTGAGTAATGCGTTGTCATTGCTGGCCAAGATAAGCATCCACAGCACCCAGTAATGTGTACATTGGACCTCAGCCTGGATTTGCCTGCTCTGGTACCCACTTTGGTAAATATGCCATCAGCTCTTCACATAGCAAGGCTTTCTTCTCCTTGAAGGTTTTTATCAATTGAAAAAGTATTAGGGGTAAAGATGAGGATTTGAGTGTGTTTGAATTGCCCTTTGAAAAACTCAGACACATATTCATGGTGCTCTACCTTTCTGCTCCTCCCCAAAACAGGGAAGTTTTCCTTTTGTTTGGACGTGGCTTTGTGGTGGCTTTACTTCCTGAGGCAGCGGTGGTTGCCCAGGCAATGTGGGGGGGGGGTGCTCTTTTCCTCTCGCACAATGGGCGAACATTGTACCCCTGTTCTCAGTTCTCTACCTTGGAAGGGGTCCGTCTCGTGCATCCCATGAACAGAGCTGCAACACAGCTGTCAAGACTCCCAGTTTAAAAATGAGAATCACAAAATTAGAAACAAAATAAAACTGAGGTGGGAGGGAAGATGGTAGATGCCAAAAGAGGTGTCCATGGGTGTTAAAGAGAAATTCCTCTGGCCTTAGAGGAATTAGTTCTGTTGGGGATATGTGATATTTTCTGCACTGTATGTAGGAAACACGAGGCTCTTAAAAGGTGTCTTCCTTTGGCTCAACTAGAAGACAGAATACCAAACAGACAGAATATAGCAAAGAGTACAAAATGATGGTGTTGTGTACATACCTCTGCTTAATAAGCCTAAACAGGGTTAATTCATACTCTGTTGTCATATAATACTTGGCAAATATTGCTGAGGTAAGATGAAGAGAGCAGTTCTTGAGTTCTTGGATATGCTTGCATTGCCGATCTGAGCCAATGTTCAAATGGCTTCAGTGTGTTGAGTCTGCTGAGATAAATACATTACCCAGGTTTTTAAATATTTGCTTTGTAATTTATGGAGGTAGAGTTGTTGTCAGTTTAGCTTTTGATTCTCTTGTTTATACATCTGCTTCATTTTATATAATTCATCTGCTTTTATCAAATGCTTCTTTAAGTCCTGCAAACCCAGGAATTAAACAACCAAAGCCAGATTCCCAGTGAAATTAATAGTCCAGATTATAAATGCATGAGACTGGATCCAGGATCTGCCTTCTTTGAAAAAAGGAAGGGCTCAGCGTGTGAAAGTTCCCTAATTTTTGGTGATCCTGTTCTTCCCCACACCACAGCTCATCCATTCAGCAGAGGCTGCCAGCACAGTTGATCCAGCTTAAATCTGGAGCCCATCCATGAAACATGCTGGTATGAGAAAGAGCACTGCATGGAATCCAGTACAGTATATGGGCCTTGATCAAGCCTATTCATTGCTGATTGTCCATTTTGCCATTCAGCAGCAGGATACTTCCTCTCATGGTTTCAGGGCAGATATCTTTCTTGCACCTCTCAGATTTTAAGACTAAGGCCTGGTCCACACATAAAAGAGAATGAAGGGGTGATAGATTAGATTATTTATTCAAACTATTTGTAATCACTGTACATTCTCTTTAGAATTTCAGTGTGCAGTCTTCTGTCACAACATAAAATGCAACAACAAAGCAACAGCTAAAAATCGTAATAGTTCAAAACATAAACAAGTTAACATTCCTGGCTGAATCAAAACATATTAGCCTGGCATCAGAAAGGTTTCAGTGTGAGCACCAGGTGTGTCTCTATAGCCCTGGTGGGGAACTTTGGGGAATTTGGGGCCATTATAGGATGCTATTTTGCACTTCAGCAGCAGATCACTACAGTGTTGTACCAGGGTCGAATTTAAGTTGTGCTGAAGCTAAACCATTGCTTTCAGCATTTTGTAGGGGCTATGAAGCACTAGAAGGCTCAGATATAGCTTCTGAGTAGCTAAGTGTGCCTATTGTAAATTCTGTAGTGGTAAAGCTGTCACTTTATTTTAACATTAGTTTTGGGGGGTTGTCACTGCTACCACATTCAGTGGTGTGGGCTGCACCAGGGGTTGGGAGCCACCTGGCCAAGAGAATTCCATTGTTGGGGTACCATGGCAGAGAACCTCCTTTCTGCTGCAGGTACCCTATTTCTGAGGGGGGCTCTTGAAGGGCCTCAGTAGAAGAACTTCATGCACATGAACCTACCCCATTCAGGATGTTGGTTCCTAACCCGGTCCGTTCCCTGCTGTGATGGAAGAGAGGGTTTGGCGTGGTGTTTTTACAGAGGGGAGTGTTCAGAAAAGTGATTCTACCACCTGCAGTCTGAAATGAGTACAACTTGTGCCGCCGTGGCTGTTCACGTCCAGCTTGCTTCCACCTCAGTCTGGCGTCCAAGTCTACCACGTTTCGCAGGGAACACCTGTGGTTTCCGCGCACACTCACATAGGCAGGGATTGCCCCAGTCTCCCCACTGTCTAGCTGCATGCTCCCTGTATGCCTAATACTGGTGTATCCTTTCCCCTTTTCCTATCAGAGGCCCATGAAGTTTTAGTTTATAATCCAGAGGCATCCAATTACATTTATTAAAGCTCAGCAAACTCACTGCAATGAACATGGCCTGCAGCCAAACAATCACCGCAGGCATATTCTAAATCTACTTTCAGGCAACCCACATTTTCATTTAAATTGTGGGTTTACATTTTAACCATGGACACTTTACAGAGGAACAAACTAAACAGAATAGAGAGGTACTAGTTACTAATTTTAAGTAGAACTTAGTGTATCTTTTTGAGCTGTAACAGCAGGCAGGATGATTAATACAGTTTTGCTTACGATTGTGTCTGCTTCCTTCCTCTTTCAGCTCCTGTGTATTCCAGATTGTTGGCAAGGATGAAACATTAAAGAGACAGCAATTCTACATGTAAAGCACAACAAGGGATTCAGCAAATTGTGCCATTGGGCTGTTCAAGAGAAGGACTCCATTAAAAATAAATGAAATCACCACCACAACCACCAGCATGTATCACAGAAAGTTTACCCTTTTCTAACCGAAATGAAGGAGAGAAAATAAAAGCCATATCTATTTAAACCGCTGTTTGATAAGGTTAATTTTGTTCCCATTGTAGCTGATAATCTGGGGAGCCTCAGGTATGAGTGTCTGCTCCAAAACAATTTAGGCCCAATCTCCAGGGATGCATGAGCTAAGAATGTATGACTATGATTGATAGTCACCGATAAATCTATGCCTCTCAGGTTAGTGCATAACAAAGTGCTGAGGATTTGTATGTGCTGTCAGGAATTGAACATATTATCTGCCATTCCCTGAGTCAGACAGTGAATCCAGCTAGCTCAGAACCTTCTTGACTGAGCAGCAGTTCTTCCAGTTCTCCGGCATGCGTCCCTCCTGCCCCTGCTGGCACCTTGGTGATTGCGCATGGCCGCGCATGATGCATGCAAACCATGAACTCTTCCACTGAGCGGCAAGCTTTCCCCAACTGAGATGGTTTCCTATATCAAGCTGCGCTGGCTGGGATGTGCTTGGTTTTGTAGGCCGTTTTTTCTCTTGAAAATTGCCCAGGATTGCAACTCAAGACTTTCCCCCCTTAGATATGAAATAGTTGAGGCTTTGGCTCCAGAAAAAGAAGCCTTTGACCACTCTAGCCTGAATTACTCTTGGATTGGCTTCCATTTTGTTTCATTTTTCTCCAGAGAGAGAAATGTCATTCTGACCAACCTTACAGCTTTGCAGGTATTCCCTTCCAAACTAAAGACTGGTGAAGCTCATGGGCCTAACCTTATTCCTTGCCTTGGGAGCTAATAGGATGGTCAGTGTTTCATACGGTGCTAACAGATTTTGCTACTTCATCAAGTTTTTTGTAATCTATTTTTTTAGGAGAGTCACATAACTATCTAGTATTCATTTCTATATATGTAGTGTCAGAATCATTGGCTTGTACTTACAGGTTAGGAACTGTCTCTAAACTTTGATGCTCACTGAACAGCCCACACTTAAGACTAAATATCCAGCTTTGTGACTTTCTGATCTCAGCCTTGCAACCCACAAGCTAAGATACTCCATTTTGGTCTTTCTCCTGTAGTCAAAGGATGAAGGAGGGGACAGTGGGAGCTTTCAACTCTAGATGCATTTTGAAAATGCAAAGCAGGCAGCAAGTTTCTTAGCAATAACCAAGGATCAATGCTACCTTTTTCCCAAACTTGTAGCAGCAATGGCCTGGTCATAACTGTGTATGTGCATATTTTATGAAAAGAAGATTAAAAGGTATGACCTGCGACTTTAGTTAAACAGTGACTCTGTAGTCACAATCCAAGGAGCACTTGGATTCATTTGGGCACAGCTAGCTTCACACATGTTCTTCCAACTACATCCCACATCAATAGTCCATGATGGATAGCAAACATTTAGGATATTTAGATTTGTATTGATGTGGGAGACTGTTGCCAAAATGTGCCTGTGTACATATAGGCCATCAGACGTGCTAACACAAACACTCCAAATGCATCCTATAATCCTATAGACCTTTCTGGGCTCTCTATGAAAAATGCAATTTGTGTGCTTCGGCAAGAACATGTGGTTTTTATTTTCTTCTCTCCTGTGCTTTGAAAACCTTCCATGCAATTCTGCATTTAAACATTTTTATTTTTTTAAAGCCTCATTGTTGATATTGGGGAATTTGCATGATATAAGCTATGATTTGATCAGTGCTGTCAATTAGCTTTTGTTTACACATATGGTTCTAACTCTAATATCTTTTGTTCTTCCTAAATCTAAACATGCACCCTTTCTGTAATGTGGTCAGAGACGTCTCCCTCATCAAAACTTTGAATAAAAAATTCATTTGTAATAAAACTTGGCTTTTATTTTAAAAGTGTAAATACACAGTATAAATAGTATGAATGTCTTTGGCATGTTTCATTTTTGCAGCCACAGCCTTATCACAGAGGTCTGGTACTCTCAGAGAAGGCGCTGCAGCAGACTTGTGCCACCATAGCAGCCCCAGAAGCTGTGGCAATGTGGAAGGAGCCCACACAGCAGCTCTTCCACATGTTTCTGAGGGCCCCTCCCAGAAGTTCCAGAAGGGGCTTCTTATATTGCTCCAGGCATTTAGGAAGAAAAGGTACTGCTCTCAGGCAGAGGGACTTGGTCAAAATAATCATATGCAACCAAAGGCCTCATCCACCACATCAACACTATGGTTGATTTGAACCATGGTTTGCTCTCCTGCCCAGAATTATTTATTACATTTTTATACTGCCCAACAGCCCTAAGGATCTCTGGGCAATTAGAATTTGTCTGGCAGATGATCAAACAACCCACGCTTGGTTTTCTCAATCCCTTGACTGATTCCCTCCTTTAACCACTTCTTCCCTATGTCCGAAATACCTTAACATTGCTATATCAGAGCAGAACGCTATTTTGGTCGCCTAATAAACCACCCATGAAAAACCCACAGATCTGCATTCACTTGTACTGGCAACCTATGGTTTAAACAACCCAATAGCAATCCATCTCTTCTCTTTTGTTAGTGTGGCTGGGTGCACACATCCCCAGCATGAACACTGGGGATTGGTCTTATGGGTTAACCAGGCCACATGATATCTCCCCCAGAACAAAGAGCGAGGGCGAAGCATTCATTATCTAAGGTGGTACATTTTTCTTGTGTGGCAGTACCAGCACAGCTTCCATATAGGGATTTTTCAAACAATATTCCCATGTGCAAAATCATACCCACATGGCTTTCCCTGATGCGGTGAGCAGCAAATTTCCAGTGTGGGCAATTTAAAATAAAATCCTGTGAAAACAGGAGTGCCATGGCCACGTGATAATCGGAGTGGCTGAGCTGAAAAGCCGCATAAGCACCGATGGCGCTTAAAGCAAGGAGGTTTTTCATGGGAACTGTAGGCTGAAACGTTTGGAGCAGAACAGCATGCATTGAACTACCTGTGTGTAGGTTTTCCTTTTGACACCAAAGGTGCCACATTAGGATGTGCTGCTAGTGGCTGTGGTGTGCCATCCTTACTTTTAAAGTAAGTCCACCAGATAGCCTACCAACTGCATATTTACCCTAGGAACACCTCACTCAAAAGGTGTTCTGTACACTAGTCATGACTGCAACAACTCCATAAAGTAAAGCAGTATTGCTAACCTCTTGTTACTGGTGGGGGCTTGCCTAGGACTACCCAGTGAGTTCGTGCCTGACCTGAGATTTGATTCAGGTTCCTCCAAGTTTACACCTCAGATTCTCATGATGGTGTAGCACCATGCCTAGGGTCCTTTGGCTTTCTCAGAAGATGCTGGATTTCTCACAGGCATTTCTTTTTCTGCACAGCATGGTAGGACCATTCATTTACGGTGAGGGCATTGTTTTTGAGTGCTACTGTCTAGAACTGAAAGACAAAAGAATACCTTTAAACCCTGCAGGGTTGAGCACTTGGAACAAGGGCCTGCAAACCCTCATGCAAGGCCTTCAGTATGCCCTGCCGGCAGTCTGTTAGGTCTTGCTATCCAGCCGTATCCTTTCAGGCTTGTTGGTCAAGCTAACCCCTGGTGACACTGTTTCTTTCCACTCCCAGTGTAATAATTTACTATAGCATTCCGTTGGACAGCATCTTATTCAAGCGATCCTCATGCAGCTTCTAAAATACAAAATGTTGGCTTAACCAAGCAGCAACAGCCAAATCAAGTGGTGAAGCTTTTCTAGACTGTACCACTTTTCTGCCTGGGTGGTCCTCAGCGAAGGGAGGAACCCCTGTCAGTACACAGTGATGAACCATTCCCTTGGCATGCTCACTTTACATTTTTAGGAATTACGTTTTGTCCTTTCTAGTTTTTCCAAGAAAGAGCATTCATACAAGGTAGTTTTGCTCACTGTATAAACTAACCTATAGTTTATGGAAAAGGGATGGATAATTTCCTTTGGGAGAAGAGTTGTGAACTTTAGAGCTAATCCTAGATTATAACTGTGTGTGGGTTTTCTTATACAGATAAACATAACCTATGTAATGCAACTCTTTCTTGTAACCTCAGAACTGAAGCAGATGTTATGTAATGTAATTTGGAACAAATGCACATAAGCACTATTAAGTGGGGTTCATTGTGACAAACTCCGATTCGCAATGCGTATGAAGGAAAATGCTTCCACCGGTTAAAGCAGAAGCCATCTGCTATTTGGGAGCAGGAGGGGAACCAGCAGAAACGTTCCCTGAGAACATGCATATTCCAGAGATGAAAACTGCCAGGACAGCATCGTTCAGTGCAGAAGGTCCCTTCTGAAAAGCAGAATGACCAAGATCTATCTGGAGCAGTGCTGTGATGAAAGGGCAAAATGCAAAACAAACAGCACAGCAGAACTCCATCTGCAGCTATTTCGGGAACAAATGGGGAAATGAAAGAGGAACTTGAATGAAAGGAATCAATACTCATATGTTTCAAGACAAGCTTTAAAAATGATACTCTACTATCTGCCCTGAAGAAAGCTACCTTAGGCTCCCATGGTCAAATACCACTTTCTGCTTTGTCACAGATAAGAATTCCATCTTTACTTCCTTTCAATAACTTCTGAGGTCTGTTCATAGCAGTAGTATTACCTTTGTGGTTTGGTGTCTGAATTAATAAAATTAATCATGGAGCCTGGTAGCTTTGCAGCAGCATCACATTTCCAAGCCCAAGTCTGTTGGACAAACTCACATACCCTCATTGATAGGCTACTGGAAATTATATTTTGCTTCCATTTTGTCTCTGTGTGTATGGTTTTCCTTACTTTACATACTATCTGTGCCTTGTCCTTCTGGACATTAGTTTCTTGACTATTAAGTGAAACATCTCATACTTTAAAAGACAGAACATTCACAAATAATTCGGTTAGAAAATTGGACAGAAAATAACAAAGTTAAAGGATTGTGGAGTTGTTTGTTCAGCAGTTGAATATGAGTTGGCCCTGTGATGTAGCTGCATAAAATGCAGGCAGAATCTTAGGTTGCAACATCAGTAGAAGTTTAGTTTCAAAATCACAGGAAATTTGTGATTTTATGCTGCACTGATCAGACCTTATATCAAATACTTTGCCTTTTTTCTGGGCACCACATTTCCAGAGGGATTCAGGGAAACTGAAACAAGTTCAGAGAAAGGCAATAAAGATGATCAGGGTGCTAGAAACAAATGCCTAAGGGGGAAGGGGGAAGGAATGGGCAGTGGGGAGAAGAGCAAGCCCAGGAGGAACTGATACCACTGTTGCAAGGATTCATACACAGAGGGGAGGACACAGCATAACAGAACTTAAGTTCAGGAAGGCAGATTTTGGTAGGGCCTCAGGAAAAACTTTGTAACTGAGCAGTCAGACAATGGACCCAACAGCCCAAGGCTGTAGAGGGTTCTTTGAGGTGGGTACCATTCATGCAAAGACTGGCAGCCCTCTATCAGAAATGCTTTACATTGGATTGCTGCATTGAGCAGGGGGTAGAACTTGACAACCAAACTGGCCTCTTCCAACTTGATTCTTTATTTTTATGGAAGCCCACTCCACTGGGCAATCAAAGGACTTGTAGAGCTGGTTAGCATAGAATCCATGGCTCTTAACATTGTGCAAGTATCTTTTCAAAAATACCTGGGTTCAACCAGGCCCACCCTGATGTTTTAAAATACCCATCAGGGAGAAGAGAGAGTGGGAGGACTTCAGTTTAGCAGACTCCAATTGGGGGCCCATTGGAGGTGGGAAGTAAGCATGAAACCCAAGCCCAAGCTATCTGAAGTTGCACTGTTCAATGGCAATGTTATCCAATTTCCAAACCTGGGGTTTTTCCTCTTTCCAAAGGCAACTTCTGTTGCTTTTATGTAATTTATTATCAAGTGCTCTTTTGAACAGAAGTCACTCAACTTACTCAGTAGCCTCCTCATCCCAATTAATGCAGTAAATATAATATCATCAGCATATGAAATAATTGAGAGCCTGACATTCAGAACAGATACTAGAAAAAAAAAATTCCAGGCCACTCAGCTCTTGAACAATGCTGATAATATAAAAACTAAAAAGGAAAGGGGCCAGAAGACAACCCTGGTAAATACCTCTTTTAGTTGGTAGGTCTTCTGAGAGGAGACCACTTGCCCCAAGTCTCCAGCAATCCGACTTCAAATCTCAGTAGAACCTATATGTGTCCTGGTCATTTTGAAAAAAACAAAAGCTAGATTCTTTTTGCACTCCCTGGAGAGGTGCACCTGGTGCTGAGTTTATATTCTTTTCGGCATCAGGTCAAAACCTTTTTATTTAATTGCTATTTTAAAAACTAAAATTTTATCGTTTCTACAGTCGTTTGATTTTGTCTTTTATGTAAACTTTTATTGAGTTAGGTCATTTATAAATGTGATTTTATTGTATTCCAATTTTATGTATTGTGAGCCATCCTGAGATGCCTAGGCATAACGGACAGCATACAAAAGTTTTAAATAAATAATAAAATAAAATAAATACCCTTGAGTGCGGGTTTTAGATTGCAGAATTTATATTAAGATCAGTAGTGTATCAATGTTTGTTACAACTAGCTTCTCCCATAAACGTTCCCTGTCTATGCGACCCAAGGCAGCACTGTAATCTACAAAAGATGCAAATGATTCTTTTCTACCCTCTTGAGTATATTTTTGAATTAGATGATGAAGAATAAAGCATTGGATTAACCCCGAATGAATCCAGCCGGTTCCTCAACAATAATTGTGAGCCGCTCTGAGGCTTCAGCGAATGGGGCAGCATAGAAACCTCCTAAATAAATAAATAATCTTCCAGCTGCTCTCGTCTGTGTTGTAGGCATTTAGAGTATAGTCTGGAGTTAACACTGAGTAAACAAATTGGGCAAAGCCTC